GTTTCACACATAAACGGATCACTTCCCTTTTCAAGTAAAATCCCGTTCAAAAACATCAATACGGATAGAGTTCGACTGAAAATGGTAAAACAGAGGTCAAAACAAAACTATTATGTAATAACACTTCTCTCGTACAGGTGTTGAAGTTTAAATGTGTTTGTATACAAAATATTGTGCCGATGGAAAAAAACACGTCTTTAATTAGCTGAGGATCTGGGTCAGCTATTCAGGACAACAAAATCTGATGTGCCTATAGCATTTAATTATGTATCTGTATTTTAGAGACGTGCGCTTGTCCAATGGAGGGAATTCGATAACAACCGGAAGCGGTGAACACGTTTACGAACGCACGTTTACGAACGCCCTTGTGAGAGTTAATAGCCTTAGCATTAGCGTGTACCTAATGCTGTAGAAGCGTCCTAGTCATTTCTTGTACTTTTGGCAAATTTTCTCGTAGAACCTTGAGCGCCTTTTAAGGATGAGGCGTTAACTCATTTATAGAGGTTCTATTTTCTTCACTTGAGCGGGAATAATCGTCACACGAATAACCTTCAGGTACAGAACAATTTCTATAGACAATAGATAGAATTTTTAAACCAGAAGACGCTGGATGTCAGTGTAATATACGACACAAGTAAATATGGCAGTGTCTCTGTTTTTATTTTTGTTTTTTATATAGATTTTTTTTTTAACAGGATTTAAGTACATTTGATTCTTCGTTTGTCTATAATGTCTACCACGAGGGCCATATTGGTTGTTGGTGCAACGTATGATTTTATTGTATAACAGTCTGCATAGAACTAACACTTGTTCTAGTACTCGTGAATGCTAGCCTAAATGACTGTTGGGCTTGATAAATATCGTTGCATTCGGCGTATTTTCACTGTTTGTAAGGAGTTCTTCATGCTGTTCTGCCATCTACAAGCCATCAAATGCAGATCTGATAAAATTTCTCTCAGCCTGAGATTTTTCCAAGTATCTTGTAAAAAAAAAGCAGCTGGAGCTAAATTAGATGTACTAGCAATGTTTTGATTAAGAGAGGTCGTTCTTGTCAGTTCTGTCTATGTTTACCTGAGTTGACTTTGCTTCTTGGAGATTGAGCACGGAGAAACAAACGCCGCTGAGGTTCTAGTACCTCGAATCAGTCTGAGAAGTCTCCAAGCTGAACCCTTTTACTGCTAACGAAAGTTGATGTTGTACTTGATGATGAATAAGTAAATTTACCTGACAGGCGTTTAAGTTAGCTTATCGGAGGCGACATACACACGTAAAGATGTACTTAAGCGTTGAGCGTTTACAAAATTTCAGACCTTTTTTATGCTGTCTGTGTGGGTTAGACAGATGATACAAACTTTCGGCAAGCCTTTTTCTATTCTTTGTTGTGAGTGGTAGTTCATAAAGTACTATTATGAAGAAGTGCAGATTTAATGACGGTTAACAGAGTCAATTTCCAGATCAGAGGCGTGCAGCACGCAGCAGATATATGGATCTACTCTGAGAGACCCTAGTTACCGTACAGAGCGAAACTGAGTCCACTAGATGTCATCACTGCTTTCATCTTTTTTGGCTTCATGGTGAAATTAATCAAATTTCAATGTGTTGGCTTTTGCGTATTTACCTTCAGGATACGAAGATGTAGATCGGCAGAAGCAACTTGTATCCCAAAAAAATTGCAGTAATACTATAATTGTGAGTAAATTATGTGTACTAGTAAAGAGATATTAAAGCCGTTTCTCGTTATAATTTTACATAGAGTGTTCAAGTGCACCGCAAGTAATCTGGTCTTTCTCCAAAGGCTGTCGTCTTTTGCATTTAAATTAGCATAGCCGGTTGTCGTTGTCGTCGTCCAAATTCAAGACTCCTGGGGGAAGTCGGCCAGCCAAGAAGACATTACGGTAAGCGATGAAGAACAGCGATTGCGCACGATGTAGGGTGCGTCGTACGCAGGCGTTAAAAACAGTAGATTACCGTTTTATTGATTCAATCCAGCAACGGTATAGCTGGTAACAGTGCCGTGAATAAAACCAGTCGTATGCTGAACTGATGACCGCACATATCCACTGTGTTTTTCCTTCGTAGGTAGTTAGCACGTCAGGTGGCCTTGAAAAAACGATAGAATCACGACAGCAGGGATTAGCCGCGACTAAATTCTCCCACAAAATGAATTTTAACAAGCGATAATGGAGAGCCTAATTCAAGCACCTTTAGATTAATCGTCGTATGGATCGTATCAACGCTGATAGTTTTGTAGCCTTTAGAAAGTTCCGGCCCTCCGAAGAAGCTCATCAGTAGGCAGCTTATGAACAGCGTAAAGGATCAGGCGGCACTGAATAGACTTTTATTTCAACTACGTAATGATCAAATTGAGCGATTATACCACCGATTATATCATATCATGATTTCGTGGGGTGGCTAACGTCAGACGCTCGATCATATACAAGACGGAACGATGCCAATGATGCCAACGGTGCCAATAGATTTGGCACAAGGCTTGCGGACCATTGCATCTTTGGCTTTCGAAAGGATTATTCACGAAGACATATCACTCGATTCGTGAGGTAATCGAATACGCGGGCTACAAAAGCGTTATTGCTCTACTTTGACAATTCGCGTCGCTTACGCAAAGCCGTTTTAAGACGGTCAAGACGGGATCACTGTCATAAAGCCAGCTGAGCGCATTGTGCCATATCTACAGAACGACATAAATGTACCTCAACAGACTAATGTACGTACCCGGTGGCTGCGAACGGCGAACAGTGATGCGGCATGTGACCCCTAACCAATTCAAAGATTGGACGCCGGCACGAAGCGGACTATTCAAAAGTCGCATCCGCGTATCGAACTTTTCAGACCAACGAAAACTTGTAGAGAACTCGGTAAGTACAAGCAGTGTCAAGATTCTCGTTCGTGATGCGATGACCGAGGTTACAATCTTACGCCTGGGTCGATCGACTGACCGGCAGCTAATAGTCAAACAGCTACGGACGAAATCAGGTGTTACTTCGTATGGTATCGGCATACGTTATTGTTGATGAACAGGTTACTTTTGGGTTGGCGTGTGTTTTTGCATACGGGTAGTACTTGGATTTTTGTTTCACCTAAACCTATTGAGTTGCTGTCTAACATCTACAAAGCCGATCTGTAGGATCTGGAAAATTGTACGCTGCCATTACAACTGGTATTACTTAACGCTGCCACGGTCACCATCCCGAGCAGGCTAATGATCAGTTTTCTTACGAGCAATTTGCAGGGGTCGCATTTAATCGGTTAGCTTTAAAGCGACATCCGCTGCTACATCAACCCGATCGGTATAAATGTTGCAATACGAAGATTAAGCCATTCATGAACGAAGGTCACATTCCGTCAGTAGAGGATCGCAAAAAGTGGCTTATAATCTTCGACCAATACAGCGAAAGCACGTCACCAGAGCTCGCTTGACGGGGATCCGCTCCCTGGGCCGAATCTGGTTTTCCCCTGACCCCGAGTCTGGTCAGCTTGCTCATCAGTTTCCGACCAAATAACATCGCTGTTTCAGTAGATGTAGCGCGGGCCTGCGTGATGACACGCTAATCGGGTTCGTTCGGCAAGAGCCGTCAAACTTAGCAGCAGTCTCCTGTTACCAGATGAAAGAAATTACTTAGGGGGCTGCTATGAGTAATGGACTCGACTGTTACATATAGTCATTACAAAGCAGAACTGCCGTTAAAACGTAAAACTTTCGTCAGCAACCACGAGGGTCAGTTTGTCGGCTCTCAACCCTGTACGAATCGCATCATGTGCAGGGTGAATACAATATGGCCACTCTCGTGGTACGGCTTCTGACCAATGAAACTCGACTTCGAATGGAGGCATAAACTATCATTGATGTTGTTGCCAATGGAAGATCAATTTATTTTGCAGCCGTGCGTGGAGGAACCCCCGGGCTCATTTGTTAAGGTCGTCTCACTACGCCACGTAATTGCACTTTCGTGAGTCTTCTGCCACCCATGGACCATAATCGTTTCAGTTCCAGGAAAGGTGTCAACGTTTCATTTTTTTTTTCATTTCATTTCAAAATGCCATCGACAGGTGTGGTCATGTCATGTTGGCGAACGTGTCGCGTGGTCGAAATTGACCTAATCAGGTACACGCTGTCAGGATGTATCTACCGCTGCCGTGCGTGCAGGGTAATTGGCCCTCGACCATATCAAAACCTGAATCACTCACCTTTTTCGTGGACGATAACGGGATCCTGAAAGTGCCAAGTCGGATCACGTGAAACTCTTGGCACAATTATACTTCCGACCCAGTCTCAATTTACTGAATTGTTGACCCAGTACACACACTTTAGGACCAATGTCGTCCTTTCCGCATTCCGGCAGAGGAGAGAGAGAGGGCCTTTAAGTATCATTGTTAAACGTGCAGCGTACGTTTTATGAACGGTTAGAAAGCTGCCTCATCCCTTACAGATTACCTGATCGAACAATTATCTAGAGGGTAAAACGGTCAGCCATTTTATGGAAAACGCTGTTGAATATGTTCGAGTCAATTTATCATCAATGGCATTTTCCAATGTACTTTGTACAAATATCGTGATGAATCTTATAAACAACCCTAAAAGTTTATATAGGTTAACAAAGGCGAACTGGAGAATAGTAATGAAAATCAATATAACAGACAAACCTAGAACCCAGAATAACGTCCCAAGAAAATAATAATCGTGATATATGCTGTATATGTCGTATATAGTGTGCTATGGCAGAAAGGTATCAACATGCCGTCTCTTGTAGAATAATCCATATATTTAATTTTATATCGCGTGCAAATTCCAGTGATTCAATTGCACTACAAGTATTCTAATTGTTTTCCAAAAAATCTATGCTTTCAGTATTTAAGCGGCGTAGTTGGCTCAAATTCAAGGTTTTTATGAGAAGTCGGCCTACCGAGAGAACATTACGAGATATAGCCAGTGAGAGCGATCGTGCATGACGTGACATGCAATGTACGTAGGTGTTAGAATCAGTAGATAACCGTCTTGTTATCTACTGATAACAAAGATGTCGCTATAGTCCAGCGACAGTGTCAATAGCAGTCCCGTAGATAAAATCAATTTTTTTGCTACATGAGCAACCACACATCTTCAAGATAATTATCACGTCAGACTAGACATGACTGTCCTGCATCAGTAAGAGTTTGCTCCAACCAAGTTCGCTCATATCTTCTAAATGATTTGTCAATGTTTTATAAATATCTAATTAACGCGCATCGGTAGGGCTGCATCAATTTGCGTGTTCCCAGCCAAATTAGAACCAGAAACTTTCCGGTTCCAAGGTCCCAAGTTACTCATGAAGCTGAGAACCACTGGACAGAAATACATGAGAATGTACGGTGTTGAGGTAACTTTTTTGTATAACTTTATTAGCATTTCGCTTGAACGAATTTTCCTTTAAACAAAGAATCTCACACGATAGTAACAGTAAAAATACAAACAGAAATGTAAGATTAAATAATGAAAAGGTCATAGCATTATGCGACCGCATTTTTTTAAACGTACCCTATGGTACCTTAACCGTTTGTTCCGTCAGGATTTAGTCGAGGTAGCGAAGAACCGTACAGAGTTTTTATAGCAAACATTTCAATTCCAACAATGCTTATGTGTTGCTATTCTTGGTAAGCACGTGCTTCTTTTTTTTTTAGGATGGCTTTCGAATTCTTAAATGTTATTTGCTACTCTACTTGGGATTCACGTAACTTCGGCATAACAACATACAGGGAAGGCCCAAGTGCCGCAGAGTTGGAGCGTATTTGCTTATTATGTTGTAGCCTCTCACCAGCTTCGGTTATACTTGATTAAAGAACAATTGCTTCACTGAATCCGAACTGATCGAAACTAACATTGAAGATTTCCATAAGGGCTTCACCGGTATATAAATTAAACCAATGAAGGCGAGCTCATTCGAAGAAATCTCAGTGCAAGTTTGGGAGAACCAAACTTATGGGAAAACGTTTATTGTCACCAGATTTCTCTGGAAGTATCTTTTAGTAGTCTTTACAAGTTGAGCAGCGCTTCCTGACTGGATCTGTTAGCACATTACTTCCCGAACTAGGGCCAGACGCGCCTTTAGAATCAACAAAAATAATGTATAGAAAATCTCTCGGCCATTTTAAAGCTCCTTCAATATCTCCATATTCCTACAAGCAACTATTACTGATCTACAAGCGCGGAATCCATATTCGTTAGCTGGTGGCGCGTCACGATAGTTTAGGAGGAGATTAAGCGTAATACGAGTATGTATGTTCGGTAGAACGCGTAGATGCAGTCCTTTTTCGCAACACTTTTTTCTTCAAAACTTCTGCTTACTCGAAGGCCCTTGCCTCTGAGAATTACGGCTACTTCAGCTGAAATCGTGAAGATACGCTCGAAGTCACTCTAGGTTGATCGTTCATAAGGGTCTTGCAGTTCTAGAGTCGCATAATTCTTATATGTGGGCACCATTCTGTAAGTATATTTGCTTCAAACATCAGTTCCGTTCTCTCCAAGTACTTTCGATAGTAGTAAGTAATCCTCGCAATGAATGGCCCGACATATGCCTAAAGTTTGACTGGTTCTTTAGCCTGGAGTGAGATTTGTTTGGCCAATGTGCATTGTACATTACACAACGGCCTGGTGCCCCGAAGTCGCTGAAACGGTACACTCTTAACCTCCTGGTTAAAGACCTGTGGTGCATATCGACCCTGGAGCTTCCCGTGTGGGGGAAATGGCGCTTCTCGCATTTTGAAGTTTATCGGTCTCTAACTGTATGTTGCGGATCTTCCGCCTACTGTGTATTAAGTTTTCTTCGACGTTGAGAGTGACTTCGACCTGACTGGTAGATAGCGGTTCAGTAGATCGTAAGTCTTAGGAAAGTTTTATAATTATTTACCATGACAGACGCTCCCATTGGGCCAATAATAGCGTTTCGGATTGGTCATAAGTAGAATTTTTTTTTTAGAACTTCCTAAAACGCAACCGTTCGAGGCTGTTGTTGTTGTTGTTGGTCGATGCTGATGTCGGTTTAGCAAATACGGCCATTGGCCCGAAATCAACAGGATCTGACCGGTTCTTCCGTTACCATGTTATTGTGATTTTCTTTCTTCCATAACCGCAGAATTGTTTTCCTCGAGAACGAAATTGGTCGATTCGAGTGGATGATTTCAGACGCCATCGCTACCGTGCCCAATAGCGGTGCTGCGAATATCGGGGCGGTGCGCAATATAAAGCTTTGGCAGCGCAAATTTTGACAATGGTCAGATGTCAGCTAACTGATCTGTTAGTACCAGCAGTGTTGACAAAATGTGTTCATAGTGCCATTGTATTTTATTATTGTTAGCGATCTTCAATTTACAGGGGTCTTATCCCTTAGATTTGTTTGCCTTTGAAATTACGCTATCATGAGTTGTTGTGAGTCGACAGTGCGTATATATTTAGGAACCGGTTCTATGGCACCTGTCAGGCCTGCAGCGTGCAATTGTCATAGTTAGTGGTGGAAGCTCATGGATTCTGCAGCCCAAGAAGGATCTTTAGAGTAGGCTCCTGTCGTGTTCATTATACCCGAGTAGAAATAGACGCTCCAATCACATAAGGTGGGTGTACACTGTGTTGATCACCACGATGTTTCATTTTTGGCTTGGGCGGGGTAAAGCCTCGTTCGCTCAATTCGAGGACTGTGACAAGAAATATTGAACATCTAGTTTTGCGATGCTTGCCATAAATGTATCGTTATTGAATTCCATGCATACGTCTTAGTTTAGTGTAAAAAAAACTAAATGAATCGGCGATGCACTAACTAAGCTTTTCCGCTTGTTGAAAGATTTTCCTTAGAATATCTATTGACATACCCATCGCCGCCCCGCTCCAGCTATAAATTAACTTTTGC